GTTGGATGATAAGCATACTCTGTGGTAATATGAAAAGGAGAAAAAGAACAATCATTTGAAGTAACAGTGGGTTAGTATTTTTCACATTTAGTGGCTGACACTGAACCACAGGAGGTAGAACCTCAAGGAGGATGAATAGCAAAACTACACTGAGGCAGAAAACCAAAGACAAAACCATGAAATAACTCAACATAAAATGCCTTATCTATAGAACTTTACTGTTGCATGTGCACAGTTGGAACAGTAAATCACACCTCTCTGAACGTACAGCCTGTGGTTGCAAAGAGAACAGCCACCCTTGTGTCTTCATTTTGTTAATGTTGCCACTGTCCTAAGGAAATTCTGCCCGCTCAAGAACTTTTGAGGAGAGATTTCTCCTTTCTGGCATCTGAAATCTTTCCTCTCTTCCTCTCGTGTTTCATGTGTCTATCTCTGTGATTCGCACAATAGAATATTCTTCCAAATGCCGAGGAGTGAAATCATTTGAAAATGATGAGTCGCGAGTCTTCAGAGTCTCTGCAGGTACTCAGTTCACAACTACAACACTTGCCGAAGGAATTCGGATTTTGGTGCTCTCGGGTATCGCCGAAATCCACAGCTTTTCAGCCTTGCTCAAGTGTGTTGTAACGAATTCTTTCAAGAGTTAATACACTAAAACACAGACAGTGTCTTATGCAGTGGCACCTCAGTGAGGCAGCAAACCTTTTGCCGAGTGGACAATATCATTCATACCATTTCTTTAGTGTGGCACGTTCATGTAAGTAATGCTCGGCTTAATAGAGTAAGCTGTCTGCATGGGTGAAGTCAGTGCCCTTCCACAGCTTGCTGCAGTTGTGTTCAGTGCAAGCTGTGCGTCAGAGCCGCGGCTCTGTGGTACAGCACATCTTTACTAGGCTGTTCCATATCAAGTACAATGAGGCTAGCAGATCTTTGCTCCAGAATATTGTTTACATGTAAAAATCTCAACAAGGGACAGTGTTTTATGGGATGCTAAGTTTTATCTGTAGCCAGCAGGTGGCAGTGTCCAAATCAAGTGTGTTCCACTCTGTGTTGCTTGAGCTATTGACTATAGCACTGTGGCAGTCAGAGGCAACAGTAAGCAAACACTTAATCACTTCTTGCCTCCACAGAGTTTATTGTTCTTGTAACACGTATAAGAATAGTAGATCTGGGAGCTGTATCTCAAAATGCGTAGGATATGGCCATGTGGTCATGTTGGTTAGTGGAAGAGGTAGCGAGGAAGGGGATATCACACAAGAACCTTGAGCTGTGAAACAAAACTAAGATGAAAAGGGCCAAAAAGAGGCATCAAAGAGGCACGTAGTTCAAAGGAATGAACATCAGTTTCAATGGTGTTCATGAGGAACAATTGATTTTAGGGTCATTATTCAATTCAGGGTCTTAGGTGTATGGACCACATTATCTTCTCTGCAACTTACATGCTTTACAATTTAAAAATTTGGAGACTTCATAAAAGATACAGCATGAATATCGTCTGTATTGCTTAGCAAAATACCCACTGAAACTTAGGGACCCTGTAATCAAGCATGTTTATGTTGGTGTAATTAAATAGGTAAGAGTCCTCATTAATTCTTATACAGACTCCTGTCTACCAGATTGACTTTGTTAAAAGCTTTTGATTTTCAGAGGCTTAGATATTAGACATTGTGGACCTTCAATATTTATCCCATAAACAAAGAATCTACCCTTAAAAATATTTTTAAAAATGATTTTTCAGTTTTCTTTGGTGAACTATTTGAGTTTTCTAGAACATATATTCTCAGCCATAAGACTTTGGACTCTGTTTTAAAAATGTACTCAGCACTGTTGAGTGTTGAGCACTGCCATGCTTGCATATTTTTAAAAGAAAATGTGTTTTTGTACAAATAAAAATAACATAAAATGTGCCTGATTTTTGTCTTGAGGATGTTTAGTTTTATTAAATACTCTGAGGTAAGGTAGAATATTTCAATAATAGGGTTGGAAAATTTGGCCTTAGAATAAGGAGCTTTCTACTCATTATCACTCAGAAGTAAAATACAGCTAGGCTTTTGCTAAGTAGTGAGTCTGTACTGATGACATACGGCCATGTCTTGGTGTGCTCATGATCTGTGTTCTCTAGCTCAAAAGACTGTTTTGAACTTCTTACTAAAGTTTCTTTGGGGATTGGAAACTTTAAAAATGATTTCCAGGAATTGAAGGGTGTTATGGTTTGTGTCTAGTTGTCCCCCCAGAGCCTCATGCAGTCATGGGGCAGCTTCTGGAGTTGGTGATTAATTATTGTGCCTGTGGATGCTCTACCTACCCTGGGGCAGGTAATTTGCATTACAATTGAAGGAGGAGAGAGAGGCTGGCTAGCTGCCTGAGCTGCTGCCACCCCTTTTTACTCTGCTCTTTACCTGCACCATGAAAGTTTGCTCTCTGCCGTGTGCCACTCTGCCTTGGAGCCAGCTGAGTATGGACGGAAACCTCCACTAACTGTGAGCTAAATAAACCTTTCCTTCCTTCGCTTTGTTTTATTTATTTATTTAATTAATTTATCTATTTTTATATTTAGTAGAGGGTCTACAGGATCTCACTATGCAGATTCAACTTGTAGTAATCCTGTTTTCAGCTTCCCAAATGCTGGAATTACAGGCATGCGCCACCATGCCCAGTCTCAGTTGCTGTCTCAGCGCACTCCGTGGGCAGAGCAAGCACCGCATGCTGGGTATCAAACCCTGTTCCCTGCACCTTCCTAAGCAGTTGCTTTAGTCTGCTGAGCTATCTGACCAGCCCCTTTTTTAATTTAACTTAATTTATTTAATTTTCTTTTTTTCCCCACTTCATTTTGAGTGTCGGGTATTTGTCCCAGCAATGAGAGAAGAATAACTGAGACAAAGGGCATCTTCAAGTGAAATTATGTAAGTGGAATTAATACAAATAAGGGACACAATAGAAGGGTAACCAAAGATCTCAAGGCAGATACCAAGTGGCAACACCAAGGAGAAGCAGGCATCCCTTCTCACATCTTGTTTTGCAAGTTGTCTCTGTTGTTTTACTTTATTGTTCAGTCTTTATCTTTCCTAAGAATTATTTGAGGCAGTTTATGAAAATATATATAAGTAGTAGGTTCAAGATGTAACAGCAAGGAAGAAAGAGAGATGGGGTGGGGGTGCCCAGGGTGCGCAGGGAGCAGATTCAGAAGTCAGAGGTCAGGCTCATCTGTTGGGTCCTCTGCCTTAGTATCTTGCCTCTGGGCTTTGCAAGTGCCAAAGTAAAGAAAGATAAACCTTTCAGTTACTGCCTCAATGAAGAAGAGAATGATTTATTTGCCATCACCATCCCAGGATACAGCATGGTGTCTGTCTTCGAAGAAGAGAGGCAAGTGCAAGTGGTGTGTTTTCCATCGGTATTTGCCAAATGAATCAAGAGTTGTAGTATCCCTAATATTAAAATAAAATTTTCAAGTACTTTCAAAGGACAGATTGGGACTGATATCTGCCAACGCCCAGCATATAGCTGTTGGTAGAAAGTAAGGCAGAGTCGTGTGGCCATTCCTGATGTCTCACAGTGGCCCCCAGCTAGAAGTGCCTGGCTGGGTAGCTCAGGGTACCTTATAGAGAAGGTTGGGCGCTTAGCAAGGGTCAGCTCAGATGAGCTCTCAAATTCGGCTTACCCCTCACAGCCTGTGCTCTGAGCTAGGGCTTAGAAGGTCACACTCTGCCTGAGCACCTCGGGTTCCAGGTAGCTACAGCCATCCGAGGCCTTTCGTCCTGGCTAAGAGCTCTGTGTCTTCATGCTGTTCATGGTCAGGGTTTATCTCAGAGCCAGAACAAGGGCTGAAGAAAACAGGCGGGCCTCTAGGCCTCTCGGAAGGTAGAGCAGTCCTTGTTATTGTGGCGATAGGGGGAGGTGGTCGCCAAAGGGGCAGTGTGGGTCATAAATAGCACACAACCCTTTTATAAACAGTTTCTCTCTGACATGCTCAGACACGAAGAGCAAATGAAGGAATGAACTAATGGCAGAACAATGAAGCTTGAAGAAAATGTGTGAGAGCTGACTGAACATAGTAAATATACGAACTTTAAAATTTTATTTCAGGGAAGGATGCAATGTCATTAATCTCCCTCAAAATGCTCCTTCTGCCTTTGAACATGATTTGCCATCATTCTCCAGTAAAGACACTCAAGCAGGGACTTTCAGAACTGTTTAGAGAATGGCAGACATGGTTGGAGTGTCTGGAGAGAGCAGGAGCACTGTGAGGCAGTTAATGACAGTGTGTGCCTGCTGTAATAATTTATTAAATTTAAACACTGACCATGTTTTGGTCACTTTTGTAGATTCATGAATACTCGGTGGTCAGTAGGGATGTTAAGCATGATTGATATTTTGAAGAAGCTGAAGAGAAAAATAAAAGAGTAGACAAAGTCCTTTCTTCATCCAGAAAACAATGTATTTTTTAGGCTTTTTCTATCAGCTTACTTCTAGGATAGAGATTCAGAATAACTTGCTATAGGTCCATGAGGTACCTCGGAAATGTTCTTATGTCCCTGTTTGATGACATGTAAATATTTCAAAAATACCCTCAATAATTATGTCACCATTAAAAATTCTTTATGTCTTAAATGTATATGTGACTAGCTAAACCATGACCCTGAACCAAAAAATTATTTTCTATCCCCAAATGTTTATGAAGAATTCCAAGGAGAATGGCAACTTAGTCTTTGCAGTTCTTTCCAGCTGGGATTTTGATGTCTTCAAAGAGAATCTTACGTGTCTTTGTGGCTGTAGTAGTCCCTGGGACTAAGAGAAGCTGGGCAGACACTTGGGGTTGGGGCCAGTACCACCACTGACTGCACAGTTGTCCACTTCTACAGGTTACTCATCCCTGCCACCTCCTCCCACACCTCCCTATAGTCAGGGAAGGTCAGCTATTTTTTGATCCCCATGGGAGAAAGACAGCTCTTCAATCAGTGCCTTAAAATAGCAGCCCTTTCAGCTGCCGGGCTGGAGTCCCTCCAGGGTGGAGCAGAGGGGACACAAAGCCACGGGCTGGGCAAGTGACAGCCCACAGGACATGAGTGAGGGGAGGCTTCCTGAGGAGACTGCCTGTTGAGAGATGTTAGTTTGCTCTCGTTCTTGTTTCTGCTGGTTTTGCTGAGAAGCGAGGCATCTGAAGTTTGTACAGTTCCTTATTTTATTGAGAAGTAAACCAGGAGATTGAAGATGAGGCTAAATATCGCCGTCTTTTTTGGGGCCCTTTTTGGAGCTTTGGGGGCTTTACTCTTTCTGGTGGCATTTGGCTCAGATTATTGGCTTCTTGCCACTGAAGTTGAGAGGTGTTCAGGTGAACAGCAAGTGCGTTTCTTCTTGAAAATATTGAGGTATTGGGAAGTGGGAGGACAGCCTTAGGGAGCCTGCTGAAGGAGAGTGTGGCGGTGGGTGCCTCTTCGTCTGGGGAGGAGGTGTGGGAACCTACTCCCCATCACTATGGGAGATACGATCCATTTCCTTAAAACTTGACTGCATGTAATACGTTCGGTACTGTTTCTTGGACCAACAGCAAGCTCCTTTGTTTGTGTTCTGTGCAGCCCGCAAACGTCACCTTCTACCATGAGGGGTTCTTCTGGAGATGCTGGTTTAGAGAGGTCATGGAGGAAAATGACTCCAGCACCTACAAGTTCTGGTATAGTAAGTACAACTTGACTTTATCCCCCGTCTCTAAGCTTCTTAGTGTAGATCGCTTGCCGTGGGATTGGATTCTCCCGTGCGAAATCTCAACAAGGTGTCTTCAAAGGTCATGGAGACATTCTTTTCCAGTGGCAATATCTTCAAGAATAGTGAATTCCTAGTGTAAAATAGGAACAAAACTGAAGTGTGCATTGTTACTCTGTTCACATTGAATGTGTACTCACCCTAACGAATAAAACAGACATCATCTCTTGTAGTTTTTCAAGTGTCTGTTATTTCTATGTTGCAAGTAATTATTTTTGGCTACAAAAGTATTGAAATCTCAAATGTAAAAATGCCAAAATAGAGGTATTATTTTATATTCATAGCTTCAAAGTTTAAAAAAAGTCTGGTTTTTTAAAATAATGAAACTTAATTACCATCAGGAGCAGATGAAAGCTTTTTATTTGGGCTTTACCCAAGTTTGTAGCCAATATCAAAAACCGCTTTGCTTTTGATGTGTGTGTGCTTGAATTGCAACCCTGAAGTTCCGCCCTGAAATGGGATAGCTTTGCAAGGCTACGCTGCAGTCTTTCAACTGTACTTCTTATATTAATCATTGAAAATCAATTCATTGACAGTAGCTGGCATTTTTTATTATCTCCGCCAATGAAAGAACTGTATATTAGCCAAAAACTTATTAAAGGTTGGAATTAGTAGTCTTTTTATCAAATGGTCCTGTAGAAAATCAGAGTGTGCATCTACATAAAAATCAAGATTAAGGGACTATGTCATAAAAACCCGAAGGCCCTGAAGGCTTATGCAAGCTGATGGGAAACTGTCACATGTAAAAGGGACAAAGTGATGACACAGAGGTATTTTGGGGGGCCTGACACTGACCACCTGACCATGCATTTGGGGCTGGACAGTAAGTGAGTGACTGTGAGTCAGAGGTGTAAGGGAAAGGGTTTTCTCATAGACTTAGAAAGAAAAGAGACTTTGCTATAAGGTATGCAATGAAATTAAATTTTGAGACAACAAAAGTTTTCTCTCTCTCTCTCTCTCTCTCTCTCTCTCTCTCTCTCTCTCTCTCTCTTTCTCTCTTTCTCTGTCATCTTTTGGAGACAGGATCTCAGTATGCAATTCAGGATGGCCTTGAGCTCACTCTCCAGCTCAGGCTGGCCTCGAACTCATGGTGATCCTCCTGCCTCAGGCTTCTGAGTACGGGGATTACCTCACTTGGCTCTAGGTTTTATTGTATTTTTTTTAATGCTAAAAGTGCATTCCAATCATCAACTTGGATGGTTTATCACTTGTGTCTTGTCCTTCAAAATGGAGTGGTTTAGAAAAAATTTTCTCTTCTTTGGAACTACTGAATGTGAAACTGAAATTCATTGCATTTTTAGAACTATTATTTTTAAATGCCTACTGTTAGGAGATTGTGTGGACGTAAATGCAGAGCAGGCCTACCTCAAAGCTGAGGCCGTTTGTGTCTATTCCACTGAGTTATTCCTGGTAGCTGGATGCTCTCGATCAGCCCACCCAGCCCTCCCTGGGCTTCCTGACGGGAGTGTTTGCTTCTCACCCAGCAGCACCCTGAGCTTGCTGATGGCACTGTGATCTCGCTTCTTGGCTTGCGTGCCAGGCTGCGGTATTTCCATCCTGTTAGGGGTGCGTCACGGCTGAGCTCCTGGTGACAGCTGTCTCCCTTCTGCTCTCTTCCCAGCCAATCAGCCACCGTTTAAGAATTGCACCCACGCCTACCTGTCGCCGTACCCCTTCACGTGGGGCCAGCACAACTCAACCGCCTATGACTCTGCAATCAGTAAGTACCTCTCTCCGAAGCCGTGGGACAGCGTCCATCTGCTGGAGGCCCTCGGCAAAATTTCTTTGGGCAGTGGAGACATATTTTAGATCCTTTAATTCTGATATTTTCTCTGATTTTAATATGTTAACTGTCAAGAGATGCTATTTTTAATACACCATTTATAATTTAAATAGAATGTGACTTTGATCTAAATGGAGAGCTAAGTGCAGGCAACTTAGCAAATTAATGAACCCTGTTTCAAAATTTACAAAGCACGAGGGGCTGGGGAGACGGCTCAGTAGAATAAGTGCTTGCCTGGCAAGCACAAGGCTCTGAGTCCAATCCCGGTTCCACAAAAAAAAAAAAAAAAATTTACAAAGCAGGTTGGTGTGGGGCAAACTGGGGATACAGCTCAGTGGCATAAGGTGTTGAGTTTGAGCCCCAGTAAACCCTCCCCCCCAAAAAAAGCTGGGGATGTAGCTCAGTGCAAAGGTCCTGGGTTCTATCATATATTTATCCATGGCATTAAACATATATGAATATTTAATGCCTTGAGTATGCTTGTATTAAACAAAGTTCTCCAGAGGGGGAAATACCCAATGAATTATAGACGTGGCTGGATTCTTCCCAGGACCCCCACACCAGTGTTCTCGGGTGCTCAGGCCCCTTGCATAAAATGGTAGACTTTTCACACAGCCTACCCACATCCTCTTGCCTACATTAAATCAATTCTAGATCACTTATAGGATCTACTGAAAGAGGAATGTGTGTGACCTATCATGCTGTATCTTTTTAGGGAATAATGACTCTAAAACCATTTGTCCATGTTCATTATAGACCCAGTGTTTTCTCAGTATCTTCAGCCAACAGGTGGTTGTATCCGGGCTTGGAAAGCCAGTAGCTATAGATGCTCAGAGAGATACAGATACAGACAGAGATACAGATACAGACAGAGATGCACACGTACAGAGGTGTGGACAGGGCAGAGCGGGAGCGCCGTCTGTCTGTCTGTGTACCCATCTCTCCACCCACCCCCCTATCCGTCCTATCGGTTCATTTGAAAGACTTCACTCGTGGGTTTGTGTGCCCTGGTGCGCCCGAGACCTGCTGAGCAAGCTGGTGCCGAGAAGCAGAGATGCCGCAACCCAGAGACTGAAGCCTGGAGACACCAGTAGAATTTGTATGTTGCAATCTGGTGGCTGAATTTCTTCTTCCTCGGGAGGCCTGTCTTTGCTCTTTGGGCTTTTGACTAATTGGCTGAGGCTTACCCACATCAAGGAGCATAAAGTCAGATGCTAATCAAACCTTAAAAGCAAAAACAAAAAGAAACCTTCACAGAAACAGGTAGAATATGTTTGCTCCAGCCAGCGGGCACTGTTGTCCAACCAAATCAATGACAGGAGCCATCCTGATTTTATAACTGTATGTAATTCCTCCGCTTTTCCATCTTGCTGTCCAACATGCATTTCTGGACACGAGGACTTCTTTATATGCTCGTCAGGGGTCGCGTCATTTGTTTCCGTGGCAGCAGCAGGGCCTTCATGCAGTGGGCGTGGGGTGCGGGAGGATCCATGTGTCTCCTGCATTGAAGGAAGGCCGCAGATGTCATCAAAAGTATTCCACCTGGCTTTCTCCAGTTTTCTTGCCAGTCAGAGAGCCTGCCCCCAAGGCGACTACTTAGCTACATGTAGTTTTATCATTAGCAGCCCTTCCTGAGCCGCCCCCAGGCAGCCCTTGGGTTGCAGGGCTGTGGCCCGAGGTGTTGGCTTGCACACTCATTCCTCACACTTCTCATCCGGCAGGACGGGGGCAGTGTCACTGGAAAGAGAGAAAGAAGGATGGCACAGGAAAAGGTGGAACACACTGCTCTTCTTTACAGGAAAACTACAAAGAAGGCGCCTCCTCGCCTGCGTTCTAAATTTATGGAGCAGAGTGAAGTAACACGGGTTGGCAGTCCAGAAAGCTGGGCCTTCGCCTTTGCCTGCATTGTTATTCATACGCTGCAGGCCTCTGGTGAGGGAAGTGTTGTAAGCACCACATGTTTTAAGTGGATTCTACACATCTGAAAAGTCTGCACCTCAAAGAGATAGTGGGGAACTAGGAAAACAAGGTGACACAATCTATGCATAATAATTCTGATGGCGATGGATAGTGAATACATGTCAGAGAAATTACACTGCAATTACACTTGGAATTATTATGTAGCACTGCATATAATTAGTGTGTCATTTTTTGGATCTAGTGACAAAATCATTTCCAAGTTTTTTTTTTTAATCATCAAACTCTTCTTTGGCACACGTGTCGTAACTCCTTATTCACTTTAGGCAACTTTACAAACACTCTTGACAAAAATGACCAAGATGTGCAAAGACATGTCCAACAACAAAATAATCTTGTTTTTCCCTGTCCTTTTCATGATTCACAAGGACATCTGATGCTTGTCTCCTGTGTACAAGAGCAGGGTGTAGATGTCACCGAAAGGATTCTACCTAGCTTTTCTCTTTGTGTTTTCTTTCTAGTCAGAGACACCGGGCCCCAGGGCTACTACTTAGCTTTATGTAGGTTCATAATTAGCAGGCATTAAACGCTTGCCAAGTTATTCTCAGTAAACTGAAAGTATTGTTTATAAAATCTGATGTATAATAAGCTGGAAAATCGTTCACAGGATGACTTGGAATTCTCCTGAGTTTTGATAATGGCCGTTAGTCAACAATGAATTCATTGAAAACAATAAATTAGTGCATAGCTTTTGGGGGTGACCTAGAAGGCAAGACAGACTCCAGGATCCTGGGGCTCCCGCCTCACACAGCTGACTTTGGTGAAACGCACGTAAAGCCCTAAGTCCCTGGTTTCTGATTTATTGATAATCTTGGAGACTACAAGAATGGAAAAGATGGTGGTAATGCTTTCTGATAAGAAGCATATACCTTCTGTTTGTACCTTAACAAAAGCCCAAGTTAAATCTATATTGGCTTGGCTTGTCTGTCTGTCTGAACTGGATCTGTGTATAGTAAGCTTTAATTCAGCTCTCTCTTTCCCTTCCTCCATTTTTTCCTTGCCCTGCCTTGCCTTTCCTCTCTCTCTCTGTCTCTCTGTTTCTGTCTCTCTGTCTCTGTCTCTGTCTCTCTCTTTCTCTCTCTCTGTCTCTCTCTATCCCCTTTCTTTCTCTAGCCTGCCTGTCTGCCTGCCTTCTCTTCTCTTCTCTTCTCTTCTCTTCTCTTCTCTTCTCTTCCTTTTTTGTTTCCCAACACATTTCTGGAATACGGTTATTCTCAAATCTAGTTACTTGGATGACTGTCCAAGTCTCCGGAGGTGGCCTGATTTTTTTTTTTTTTTGCATATTTTAAAGTCCATTTTACCAATTCCAATACTTTTTGAGATTTTTGAGAGCTTAGATTTTCTGGGTTGTTTCCTGCTTACATTGAGGTCTAGGTCACTTAGCCAGGACCCTTCGGAGCTGCTGTGCTGGGCAGAGGTTAATTTTCATGACAATTCCACTCCAGGTGAACGCGCGTTCCCGCATATCGATGCCCTCCATAACCCTGACCCTGTCTCCCCGCATTAAAGGACCTCTCCACTCTGCTGTGGTTGCTCACCTAGGTCTCCCCAAGGCACCCTATGACAGAGTGTAACCCTTCATTGTATCCCTAGAACTTGACGTAGTGCCTGGTAGGTGAGAGATGCTTAAAACATTGGTGTCAAATGACTTTAGGGGAAGAAACTATTTAATGCTTTTACCAATAAAATCCATATTTTACGATATGCTGGATTTTCTTCATTCTGATGGTTCTGGGAATTCAATCCAAGTGTGCTAAATATATGTTCTAATGCTGACCTACAGCCCAGCCCTGATTTTCTTATTAAGCAGTATATATTGAATATAAATAAAGACAGACACAGAGGCTAGCTACCCTGGCCTGTGCGTTCCGCAGATTCAGTACTTGACTCTGACCCAAGGACCATTGTGTATGCCACAACTTCTTCCAAATTCCATGCCTTTTTCCTTCTCCCTTAATTTTCTAATAAAGTAGGTTTGTTCTTCTGCTCCTTTCAACTTCAGTATTTTGAGGGGGCCCCCTGGCTGGTGTCCTAACTTGCTAACACACAGACTAGGCCAGGTTCTCTCTTATAAAAACCTCCTTTAATTTGATAGTTCACCTACCAGGTTTTGCTTACTCACTTGTGAAATCACTTTGTTCCTGGATTTTCTTTCACTTTGTTCCAGGATTTCCCTGAAAGTGGGAATATGTGGGTGTGGTCCCCCTTGCTTTAGATCTGCGCAGACTGAAGGCCCAGTGTGGTGAGCACCCGGGGAGACTCGGCGCACATGCGGCTGTGCTAAGAACATTGAGCTTAAATGCTTATCGATGGGCATGAGATTTTTTTAACCAATGGACTCAGATTTCTTGTAAACATATTCTGTGAGCTATTTGTAATTTTGTTGTTCTCTGTCCAGCTGTCCTGTGTTCGTATTGCCAGTGTTTATGGCTTTGGTGTTCTTTGTCAGTTTTTCTTTTGTCACCCTTGTGAAAAATGTAGCAGAAGTCGGCGTAGCAGGTAGACAGCTGAGCCAGAGCGTGGCCAGCAAGGTGCTGGGCTGCCAGCACCGAGAAACACACAGAATTCAAAATAAGGACGAGGGCTCTGCTGCCGCAGGGCCAGCAGCAGCTGCCAGGATGCAGCTGCCGGGCCTGTCTTGCAGCACTTTCTTTCGCTCGGCCTTGCATTCTCTGCTCTCAGCAAAGCAGGAGCCTCTCTAGGGAGGGAGGAGCGCCTGGTCCCTGCTCAGAGTGGACGGTGCATTCCTGGAAACGCGGTCACAGGCCCGAGGCAGGCTGGGGGCTCTGGCCCTCGCTCCTCTAGAGAGGGAGAGAAGGAGCAGCACTGGGTGGGGGCCGAGGAGCAACTGGAGGACGCAGTGTGGAGGGCAGTGTCACCGCCCCTCCAGCCGCTGGGCCAGGAGCGAGAGTAGGAAGAAGGGAGGAGAGCAGGAGACAGAACTGAGGTGTGCAGACTTA